AAAACTCTCTACAGTGTCACTAAACAGACTTGACAAAAATAACACCAAACCCTACAGAGAATCCTGGTGTGGTGTTGTAGGATAAGCACTGGACTGCTAACCACAAGGTTGGCATTTCAAACCACCAGCCACTCCTTGGACACACTACACAGGGTCAGTATGAGTCATAACCAACTCAATGGTGCTTAACACCAAGAACAAACCCTACGCAGTTCTACTCCGTCTTAGGGGGTTGCAATGAGTAGAAAACAAAAGACAATGGATTATAGGAGAGGATAGTGGAAAGGCCAGATGTGGCTAATTTAGGGATTGTGGTCAGGTAGGACCTTACTGAGGAGCCAGGAGGCAAAGGCCGGGTAAGAAGGCTCTGGCAAGATGGGAAAAATGGGTCCTAAACACACTGGTCCCAACCAAGTCACTAGAGTGCACTTCCAGTAACTGCCACCAGAGGGAGGATAAGCGCTTCCTCTGGACTTTATCCTGGATGGGAGCAAGAGAGTCCAGGCCCTAGGTCTGAGGTCTCCTGGGTCTATCCAACCCCACTGTTAGGAGACCCCAGAGAGATTTTGTTGACCCAGTTCCCAGTGTTCTCAGGAGAGACTGATTCTTAGTTACCAAGAGGCTGAGGGTAAGAAGTGGTCATCCTGGACCTGGAGCTCTGGTAGCATAGTGGTTATGAATTGGGCTGCAAACCTCAAGGTCAGCAGTTCGAAACTACCAGCTGTTCCGCGGAAGAAAGATGAGGCTTTCTGCTCCCATAAAGATTTACAGCCTCGGAAACACTGTACAGGGTCGCTATGAGTCGGAACCGACTCCATGGCACATAACAACAACAACAACCTTACTGTAAGTAGTCAAGGACCTGAACATTCAGGACCAAGACCACTGATGGAGGTGGTCAGCAGCCTGGTCCAAGAGGCGGTGGGGGTGGGGGAGGGGAGGTTGAGACTCAGGCCAGATGCCTAATCTGAGAGTGACTGTTGTTACGTGCCCTCAAGTTGTTTCTGACTCATAGCAACACTGTGTAGGGTTTCTGAGGAACAGCTGGTGGGTTTGAACTGCCAACCTTGTGGTTAGTAGTCCAGTGCTTGCCCTACACCAGCTCTGACAGTGTCTAACTCTGATATCAAGTTATTGAGATGCTGAGAGGAAGGACAAGCTTCCACTGAGGGTGGCCAAGACTGGGTCCATTTCCTCATGAATGAGAGGTTTCATTTGGGGTGAAAAAACTGGGAAGTTTGGTGTCTCAGTAGGGGAGACAGAGATCAAGGATTTAGTTGTCTCTTTTGTTGACAGCACCTGGGGGGTCCAGTTGTCCGGTTGGGAGTGGCAACCGGGGAGAAATCTGATTGTCTAATTTATAGTTAAGTAACTTATAGGTCCAAGTCTCCATTGGAGGTGACAGGGATGAAGGACAAAGGATCCAGTGGTCGGATGCAAAGTGACAGAGCCTGGGGGTTCCTAGATTTCCTTTTGAGTTTCAGACTAGACATGTGGTTTTGGGGAGCAGAAAATAGAAACCTGTTACTAAAGGTGACAAGACTAGTGATTATACAGCTTTGGGTGGCAAGACTGGGATCCCCAGAACCTGGGTGTTTAGGTGAAAATTTGGGGGTGAACACAATGGGAGTCCAGGGCTCTAGTTTGGGATAGTAAGATAGAGTGTCCCTTGGCTGGAGGTGTTCCTGTTGAGGTCTGTCATGTACCTCAAGGCAGCAGAGACAGGGAGTGCTGTGTAGTTTGAAGGCTGGGAGGGCTGGAGGTCTAGATGATTACGCTAGAGTCCCGGGGTAGTGTTGTCTGCGTCAACTGAGGGTCTCATTGCTTAATGGCAGCAATTAGGGATCCCAGGATCTAGAAGGGGGGATATCTAGTCACCAAGCCCAGTGGGGCTCTAGTCCTCACATTTGAAATGACAGATTAGGGGTTATTTTGTCTGGTGACAATGACAGAAATTGAGGTTGTTTCATGTGTCAGACACTGGGGTTTTTATCTAGGTTGGGGTGATAGAAAC